TCGGAGGGGAACGGGCGATCTCTGTGTGGTTTCTGCTCCTCGCTGTCCCGCCCCGCTCGGTTCGGTTAACACCGGTGTAATTGTCCCCCGTGGATTCTCGCGACTGTTACATCTGCGTTGTTCTGCTGATGTCGTCCCTGCACACCGCGACTTGCCTTCCTCCAGCCCCTTCCTATCCAACCTGAGAAGAAAAACACGGGGAAAAGCAATATTCCGCCTTGCCAGTAGCATCTTTTGCAGCCTGTATGGTCAGCAGAGGTCTTTTTTGCATCTTGCTTTCACTTTTGCCTACAAGTGTCCAAAAATTTGAGATAGACTATTTATCAAGCAGAAATCCTTAATTACATTTGGATGGTTTAGTGAAGTCCCCAAATTCTACAATGGAGACTGGTCTTACAGTGCAAGTCGGATGGAACAGACTGGGAGGGAAAAGGGGAGGGGGAAGGTTCGTTTCTCTGCTCAGAAACTGGATGGAACAACCCTGAGAAAGGGGGAACGGCCGCACTCTTCCCGTGACATTCTGGAGAAGGTCATGTTCCATTTCAGCCTGAGACGCAGGACTGACCCACTCTCCTGGTGTTTCAGAAAAAAAAGTCCGTTCTAACCATTTCTGTTTTTTTAGGGAAAACCACGTTTAGTGCAGTGCTCTTTTAGACACTTACCTGCTTTGTGTTTCTACAGTGACCAGGAACGAAGGGAAAATACTAGATCATGTCGGAGTTCTGGCTAATTTCCGCCCCGGGAGATAAAACAAATCTGCAGGCATGGGAGAGGATGAACGCGGTGACATCTAAATCCAACCTGTCCAGCAACAGCAAATTCCATATTCCAGACTTAAAGGTAAATGAGGAAGGGGTTTGTGTATGGGCGATACAGCAGCATTAGACAAGGCTAAAGACTTTTGGGATAAATGTGGGATTTATCTGTTGGGATAATAGGCAAAGCGTAGAAGATTGCAGTTGGGGGATGAGTTGTGTTCAGTCAACTGAAAATTGATCAGAGAGAAAAGAGGTCATTGTGCTCGAAGCTGACCTTTGCATTCGAAGGATATATGTATAAGGAGTGAAGATGAGTGAGAAGAGTTAAATAACTAATTCATTGCATTCAATGTACTGTTTGCTCTCAGTCGGGAAAGTCATGCAGCGTTGTACATCTTGGATCACTAATGCAAAGGGAGTAGCTAAGTATCTAGAACCATGCCAGTAAGACTGCTGACAGAGAAAACAGTGCTATAACACACATCGCTCCTTGGGAAATGGATGTATGTGTATATTCAGCTACGTTACCCAGCTTTGTATCATCATATAAATGGGAAGAGTATTAATCCATGATTTTTTTTAATACCTTTGCATTGTTTAATCCTTATTTTATAAGGTCTGCACCTTAGTTTTATTTCACTTGTGGCTATGAAAAACCCAAATATGCTGCATTAGAGGCAATGGAGCTACCACAGACGTAGAACTTGATTCCTTGAGGAGTTACCATCACCCATCACTTAATGAAGCTACACTTAGTGCAATCCAGGATCTGGCTTTAATCCAAAAAGATTGTTAACGGTTACAACTTGAGCTATTCCAATTACATAAGGATGCAAGTAAAAGGGGAATATGGCCTGTTCTCAAGTAATAACCTACTGAATTGTCGCACAAATGTTTCAGGCTAAGAATGTTGCTTTTTGCATGTGCACCTGAGATTGATAGGATTTTTGCCATCTGTGGGCCTTACCCAGCTGGGGTTGGTGTGAGTCTGCTAATGTTAAAGGAAATAAAGCATTTGCGTTATCTGAAGATGCAAGCAGTCCATTAATATTCTGCTAATTGTTCTATGTAAAATTTGTTTCTTCTCCTTCAGCTTGACCCTTCATAATGTTGAGCTGGCAACATTACAAGAAAAGGTTCGGCAATATATTGCAATACCATAAACATGGGACTATGACTGTGACAGTCTCATGCAAAAAGCAGATGTTGGTCTTGGAGGAAATGGCTTTGAGAGAGGCTTAGTCTTTGGTAATAACAAAGAACGCAGACAGAGACCCCCTTTTGAATAAGTGCTTCTTCCCTCGGTTCGCTCAGCACATCCAATTTGTTTGTACGTATATTGTGTGCATTTCTAGTCACTATTTTATCAGGTTAAAAACTACTCTATGCAACTTGATGATACAGGAATGAAAACAGGAAGGAAGACACTGACATGTAATCTTGAGACTACACATACTTTTTTTTTCCTAGGCTTTTTATGCCCTAGGTCTCGGGTAAAGGAATTGCTACTATTTTCCACCACGTAAACATAGTTCCACCAAGCTGTTGAATTCACAAGTGCTAAACACAAGTTGGTGTCCCTAAGACTCTGCCAACAGAAGCCTTAGACAGACTTCTACATCTTTCACCTACTTCTCATCTTTTGCACAGGTGGGGACACTGGATGCTCTTGTTGGTCTGTCAGATGACTTGGGAAAACTTGATAGCTTTGCTGAAAGGTAAAATAGATCTTATTTACTACCTACAAATGAGAAACAGACATTGTTTTTATGGGACGGTATGTCCTTGTGTTCACCTCAGTCTGACTCAGTTCAGCCTGGACTACAACTGGACTAAAGTGGACAGGCTTTGTTTAACCCTTGTGTTTATTGTCATGGAGTCATCAGAAAGAAAGGACCATTCCTTAAAATTTATCTGAATTAGGTCTGTGACAGTTTTATCTGCACAGCAATCCTTTTGAGTGGCAGTGCTAGGGAAGCTGTTTCTTGAAAGGAAACTGCTTAAAAAGGTTCTTTTTTTAAAAAAGAACATCCACCCGATCCAGAACTTAAATTAATAAGACAGTATTTAGTGAATATGAAGACCTCCCTGATCTTATTTTCCCAGAATATTTCTATTGAGCCTTCTGGCCTTTTTCAACCAGATACAGGAGTTTTAAGGAGTAAGTTCTTCTGAATGAAATCCAGAGCTCTCCCTCTTAGGCTTTTAAACTCCTTGAAAACCAGAATATTGACTCACATTGTATGAAACGTACTTATGCAAAGATTCACATGATCTCCTTGCTGATTGTTGCCCAGTTATTCTTTGTACATCCAGGTCAGTTTAGCCCGAAAGGCAAATACAGTACAGCAAGCTGAGAAAATGGTTATAAGGTATTTTATCACACAAAATAGACTTTGCTGTTGAGGCAATGAAAGTATAAGCTGCTGGGTTTTTTTGGGGGGGTTTCTTTTTGCTTTAGAAGCATACCTCACATATAGTTGCGGTCTTGGTCACAAAGGCATGCGTTAGCACTTGGGCTTTTTGCCTTTTTCCCCCAGTCAGGACTGATACGGATTTGCTTGTCTAAATATGATTGATACTTTCATAGATTTTTGTCTGGCAGTTGCAAATGCATACAGAAACACTGATATAAACTGTTTACATCTATGCTAGGCAGTGTGGGTAAAAGTAAGTCTACTGGAATACATTTCTCCATAGGTTGGTTGATTGGTTTGTTTTTTACCTTACTGGTGCTACAGCAGGGCTCTATTAGGATGATTTCACTTGGTCGCTGTGGGTTGCACATAACAGTGATCCTTTTAGAATCATAGAATATGATTCACATCTTGACTTGGAAAGGACCCATAAGGATCATCAAGTCTAACTCCCTGCTCCTCACAGAGAAACTTAATTCATCAAGAAAATGTTCTCCATTGTGACCCTGCCAAAAAAACTGCCCCAAATTCTTTGTAAACATGTTCAGGCCTCCAGTTCATACTGCAGGGATTCTTCATGAAGTAGGAATGGGGGCAAATTTGGGGAGAGACTGTGCCAATATCTGCTATCTGTTCTAATGGAAGGTGTCCCTTCCCTGAATGGAAGGTCAGGGCAGCAGGTGGGCAAGCAACTGTGTGATCTGGGTTTGAGGGCTGCCCAAAATCATGCAGAACTGATTTTCAGAAGGGCTTAACTAATTCCCAGCTTTGTGAAGAATTAGAACTTCCGAAAAGCTGACTGTAGGGTCCGTGTAAGAACGCGGAGGGTAGTGTTAAGTGAAATGTCAGTATGAGCTCCCTAGGCTCACTGGCTCCTTCCGTTACCATTGTCTAAACTTGGCAATGTGGTTCAGCTCCTTGTTCAAGCTGAATGCCACTTTACTCCACTAATTGTCCCTTTAATGCCAGTAATGACTCTTACCGTATGACATGCTATAGGCGCTGAGCAAAGGGGTCAGTGAGGCCCTTCCACCGTAACCTGCTGAGGTAAGGACTCATCCTACTTGTCTCGTTTGCCTATCGAGCTCAGTAACCAAGAAGGATCAACAAGTTTTAAAAATAAGAAAAACATGTTGAAAAATAAGAAAAATGCATTAGCATAGAGTAATAACAAAGAATAACCAACTCAAATGTGTTAGCAGATCAAGTCCCACGAGGGCATACAAAAGCATTTTGTGTTAAATAAATTCCCAGGGTTTTGGGTCTAAATTGTGATTCAAGGGTTAAAATGCCAAGCACTCGCACTATGTTGAAGTAAATGGCAGCCAGAGGGTTACAAGCCTGTTCGAATGACCTGAGCATTTACATTCCT